GAGAATATAATAGCAATGCGGAATATGGTTGTTCATGATGCTGAAAACTTTGACTTGAAACTATTTATGAAGCCAAATCTGGTAAAGAGTCAACTATGGATCAGGTACATCTTCAGTAGAGAATATGAAAAAGTAAGATACGACATGAGAAGGACGCGTGCTACAATCAAGAAGTACAGTGTGAACAAACCACCCTAGATTCAATTTCAACTCTTCACTGCAAAGGAAATTGAAGGGTTGAAGCAAGTTGCCTATGTCAACTATACTATCTATGAATTCAAACAATTGACTCAAATTTTGGGCGACTTGAGATTTTGATTGGTTTCATCAAAACAAGTCAGAATCTAAGTAAGAGAAATTGAAACAACTTGTTGTATTTCTTAATGTGGCATTTTTGAAAGAAAATGTAAAATTTTGAAAAAGAAATTAAAACAGAACATGTATATTTCAGCTAGAAAAACATCACTATCAAGAGTACACTCAATGTTTGAAATCTGGATGTATCAGGTTTCAAAGCTAAAATTTTTCAAAACCAGAATAGGAGTAGAAGAGTGAGGACGTTGATGAAAATTTCATTCATTTTTTGACGTACAGAAACACCAGTAATTTAATTTAAAAATGAAGAGGATACTTGATACAGAAGAAGAATGCCGGAATTTTGAAAAATAATTTCAATTCTTAGATTGGCTACTTAGTAATTAAATAAAAATCCAATGGAAAAACCCAAAAAATAAAAAAAAATTGAAGACGAGGGTATTCATCAAGTATTGCAATTTGAAGTTTCTCAAACAAAACCTTTCTAATAAAATAGAAAGCTTTTCTTAAAATTATATCTGTGAATATTTTCTTCTGTTAGTTAGTATCAAATTTGATAATGTTTTCAAAACGATATTTGGTTGATATCAAAATCATTAACATTTGCATTATAAGTAAAGCTGGGTTCAGATTAGTTGATAAAAAATCCATGATAGGAAAAGCTTGAGTCTAGTTGTTTAACAACGAAACATCTAATAACCCTTTGATAAATACTGCTTGATTCTAATTGGTTGATATCAAATTATTTAAAAACCCAGTATAAGAAAAGCTCGATTCTGATTGGTTCGATATCAAATTAATGAAAAAGCCAGGAAAAGAAAAGCTCGATTCTGATTTATTGATACCAAAATTTTGAAAAAACAATGATAACAAAAGCTTGATTCAGGTTGTTTGACATCAAAACATCTATCAACTCTTTGATAAACACTGCTTGATTCTGATTGGTTGATATCAAAACTATTGAAAAACCCAAAATAAGTTAAAAAGTTGTTTCTGATTGGCTGACATCAAAAAGTCTAATAACTCATTAACAAACCTAATAAAAAAACAGTTTGATTTTGATTGTTTGATTTTATTACAGCTGCATTAAATAGGATGAAAGCCATTCTGATTTTCCTTCACGTTGAAATACAGTTGGTCAGGAATCTTGCATAATTGTTAATTTACTTTTATTTATTTTTTGTAACCATTAAAATTAGTCTAAATCTTCTTCTTAAAACTTTAAGACTCTCTAATTCTCCCATTTTTTCTCAAGTCTTTTCTTACATATTGGGATGTAATCACTGATTGGAAAAAAAACTGCCTGTCTTGATGTGGTAGATGTTACCCACGATAAATGCATCAAAACCTTGTAAGACTTGTGGAGTTTTGAAGTGTCTTGATTGTAATTTTCATACATATATCAGCGAGGAGTTGAATGTTTTTTCCAAGAGGAGGTATTCTCCTTGTCAAAAGGATCTTCTTCAAGATGTTAAAAAACGCTCAGCAAACTCCGAAGATACTCCACCACAAGATACCTTCAAAAATTCCTATGAAAACAAAGTAAACAAAGCAAAAAAAAAATTTATCGAGAAACTGTATCCTGCAACAAATTAGAACTCTGTACAAAATTCTAGTTTTTTGATAAGTTTTTATGAAAAATTAGTCTTGAAAAAGTATGAAGTACTTTCAACGCATTTTTAATTGTTCATTTATGCTTTTGTTCAAAGGTCTGATTGACGATAAAACCAACTCGAGCGATAATCAGATTCAAAATCCCATGGACGTCTATCGAAAAATCGTTAAACTACCGTGAGAACAGCTGTTTTGTTGTTTTGACTTTTCTGTAAATGTACATAATATGAGCTAAAAATTGGATATATTTTTATTAAAAATTTGAAACAAAATCGTGGATAAAAAAAAACAGACCAATTGATTCGTTTTGCCTAGCTATCAATTTTTAAACTTTATAAATTAGTGTCTTCGATTGAGTTTATATAGTAGTGCGTTTTCAAGCAGATGAAAAATGGCTGATACATCAAAAACAATTAGTTTTTACTGTTTTTGATAACTGACGATGACGAAAAGATAAACTTTGGATTTTTTGTAGGACCATGAAAAAATCTGCACTAGAAAATCACTTGAAATTTAATTTTTAAGGTTAGAGCCGGATCATACAGGTATCTGGATCAAAAATACCTTTCTGAAGCCTCTTAGAAAATGGAGTTTTTGGTGAAACGTTGCATCGGAATCATAAAAAGTCTTCAAAATGATACAATTTTACATATGAACTTCATTTTTTGAGTGAATTTTTGTTCAAAGTGAAGCGATTAAGAAGTCAGTAGATCAACCAGAAACCGAGAAAGACTTTTGTTGATGTGTTTTGACAAAACAAAATAGAAATCCAATTTATTTTTACAGGTTGTGAGATCAATTTGCTTCATTTCAGATAATAAGTTATAGCTCTAGGGAAAATTCAACATAACAACCCTCAATTTTTGTGTTTATGTGTAAGTTTTCAGAAAATAAAATATCAATTGATGACCCAGGTAAAATTACATGAAAATTCAGATGTTTTAGGGCTTTTTTCAATGAAGTAAACACATCTGAGTCAAAAAAATTTGACTAAAATGTCATGCAAAGTGAGTTCAAAACCGGGAACCTAAATAAAACAGAAAGCAGGAATAACCATAAAAAACCAATTATCTACAGAAAATTTGTAAAAAACTTGTAAAGTATAAGCAAAAAGAATAATCCGATTTGAAGAAGTTTCGCATTCACTTCATCACATTCTATTATACTTGTGAAACTTTTTCACACCTTTTTAAAATTGTTTCAACAGTAAAAAAAAACACATTTAACTTCAATTAATTTAATTTACATTGCTCAAGTGAAAACAAAACAGAAATTAGAGTTTTGGATGAACTTGGGGTCATCATTCCCAAAAAAAGCCGAGGACGAGTTGAACCATGAACTTTGATGAAGAATTTTTAGGGAATAATACAATGATTAATCAATTGAATTGAGGTTTTAACAAAATATTTTTTGGCTGGATTAAACAAAGTAGTTACAATTTCAAAACAATAATTAAATTGGAAAAAGTTAGGAAGATGCTGAGTCTAATATGAAACAGTTCACTTCACTTCTTCAAAAGTATGTTTATTTTATGTTTCTTTCGGGAATTCGGAAGTTATAGCATAGATTCAACTTGTATAAGCCTTTTTTCGGTCTTCACAGCACTAATAAAACGCATCGTAGCTTAAATAAGATCAATTCTAATCGTCGTTTTTTTCAAATCTATTCGAACCATCAAATTTTATCGTACTCATACTTTTAATCAAAAATTGTATCATTGCCTTGAACACATTTTGGGTGTTGACGCTTTTCACGTAATACAGCATTGGTTTTTTACAAAAGAAGAAGATTGATTGCAAAAATTTACCAAAAACCGCAAAAATTTTCCAAAAAAATGAGGTTTTTTCAAAACATTTAAGGTTTTTGCAGGAAAACTTACCACCCGAAACTTATCACCCTATACCTGTTATAGGACGTTGAAAAATCTTTTCACTGTCTTAATACATAAGATTTTAGCAAAATCGGACGCCGAAAATTATTTTTCTCGGAAATTAACATCTTACCATCTGAGACTCTGAAACCTAAAATCTTTTCCCATGCGAAGTTTTAGTTCCTAAGACACTCAATTGACAAAATGTATTGAATTGGAAGTGAAATTTAAAAATTTCAAGGAAATTTATAAGTCCCAGGGTTGTTTAGGATAAGGAAAGTAGTTTGAACACGAGAAAAGATTTTGGTCCTCGAGATGAACCTTCATCAATTTAACATCAATTAATTTATATATTTGTTTTTTTTGTTTTTTTTGTATTTTTACAAATTTATACAGTTGAAACAAAAGACTTAAAGAAAAATTACTGCAAACTTGAATTTTGAGATTGAAGTTTGACACTCTGGTTGAAAAATGCTTTATTAGTTAATTATGATTTATTACCTAAATATACGGCTTTTTATATTAAGTTTTCGGCTTTTTTATGCAGTTTATACAGTAATAATAGGTTTTACGGCACAAGTACTTTGAAATTTTGTCGCCCTTGTCTGCGTATTTGTTCGCTTTGCGATGCAGGTTTTGGTTTTTGTCTTTTGTTGTGATAAATTTTGGGCTAAAATATTGGCTCGGCTTGATAATACTTATTGAGACTTAGAAGTGAGCTAATTTTCTGTCAAATTGTTTTGATTTGTTTGATTTTTCTAAAACTAAGGTAGTAATAGGTTGCTCGAGACTCATTGGTCGCGTCAGATGCCTTGAGATCCCGGGTGGTCTTCTCATAGAGTAATTTCGGAAGAGGGTACCCCGGATGCTCGTCACGCAATTCTTTTTGGCCGGATAGGTTTTTGCAAATCCTTAGTCTAATAACATTCCTACTCTTACTCCTAGTCTCAGTAGGTCTTATTGAAATGTTATAGCTGAGAAGAAAGCAACTAATTCGTATCTTCAATAATTTCAACTTTACAATTTATCATAAGTCTTAGTAATGGATCATGATTGATAAGTTATTAAATTTACAGTCAGAAATATCAAAGTAGAATAAGTTTTGAACGGTTCAAACTATACAGCCATTCTAATAAATCAAGTCCCCAAAACTTCTGATAAATAAAAACATCAGTTAAAAGTATAGTTTTTTTTGTTTCAGCTGCAACGATTAAAGCACTACACATCATATTTGAGAGTAGTTATTTATGTAGTATGGGCAGCGATATTTCGTCAACGGTAGAACTGGGCGGGGGTAAGTACGTGTACGACACCAAGAAATCACTAGGGCATGGGGCATTTGGGGTTGTGTACTTGGGTCACGTCAACGATCGGTCTCGCAAATCAGTGGCTGTCAAATGCATAGACCTTAAGGATGACAGCCGAGATAATCTTATGAGAGTGCTTCACGAGGTAACTCTCCTGCTGACGCTGAAGCATGACAATATCGTGCAGACATATAATTGCTATCCCGTGAGTTTAAAACTTCCACAGTTTTTAATTGCAATTTTTACCAGATTATCATGTTTGGTTTAATTTGGACGCATCCTTTGATTTTTTCCGAATGCAACAAAGTACAAACTTCAAGGAAGCATTATAAAAAGTGTTTTCAGGCAATCAACAAGAGGCATTATAAGATGTGTTTTTAGGCAATCAACAAGAAGCATTATAAAAAGTGTTTTCAAGCAATCAACAAGAAGCATTATAGAAGTGTTTTCATGCAGTCAACAAGAAGCATTTATAATGTGTTTTCATGCAATCAATAAGAAGCATTATAAAATGTGTTTTCATGCAATCAACAAGAAGCATTATAAAAAGTGTTTTCATGCAATCAACAAGAAGCATTATTAAAAGTGTTTTCATGCAATCAACAAGAAGCATTATAAAATGTGTTTTCATGCAATCAACAAGAAGCATTATAAAAAGTGTTTTCAAGCAATCAACAAGAAGCATTATAAAATGTGTTTTCAGGCAATCAACAAAAAATCACAAAAAAAAGTAGTTTGTTAAACACTGCATGGAAGATACCACTCGATCTCTAATCCAGTTCCATGTGTATTTGAGCGGAAGAGAAATGTTTTTATTTTATCTACGTAGAATAAGAACAATTTTTCAATACCAATTTTAAAAAATGTAAACTGGTTGTTTGAATAATTCGCAGAAAAGAAACACTTGTTTCAAAACAAAACAGAAAAAAATTCATTATGAGGCCAAACTTTGCCTTATATAGGCGCACAATTTTGTCTCTGTATGTGCCTGGATTCCAAGTCTTTAAAAAATTGTGGGAGTCCGTATCCAAGTTTGAGCGTAAATAATCTATTAAAACGGATTATTATGATGATTTTTGATAATTATATATTTGTTTATAAATTAGGTGCTTGAAGGATATATAACTAATAATAATCGTGATTTTTCCGAGAGATATAATCTCTTATAAACGATTTAAATTGATTATAGTTCTTTCAAAAAAACCCTTAGAATCAATTATAATCGATGATAATTGATTATAATGGATTATAATTATTTAAAATTAGATCTTAAAAATAGAGATTATAATCTTTTTTTAATTGATTAAAATCAGTTGTTTCTCATTTTTAGTAAGACTGGTACTAATATCGTAAAATAATCGATTATTAACGCTTGAAACTGGATGCGGGAACGGTCAAAGAACATGAAAGAACAAAAGAAGAACAAAGGGTGCGTGCTTGCTGCGGAATCCTCTTACAATGCACAAAATATACAGTTTAGCCTCGTACTGTTGAAAAAAAAAGAAAAAAAAACGAGCAAAGAAAACCACTATGGAAGGCAAAAGATGTTTAAGCGAGGTGTTTTTGTTGTGTTTGATGTGGCATTTCCAAAAACGTTTGGTTATACTTCAAAACAAGTTGCAGTTCTTTAGAATATTAAAACTTATTGATGTTATGGCCTTGAAAACATCGTATCTGTAAAATGTTTATAAGCAGCTGATACATTTTCTCGAGCACTATTGCGTTTCCCACTTGCCTAAATCTTGCTGCTTTGATTTTCGCACCTGAAAACTCAATATAGATGAAAAAATTTTCTTTCCTTAAGTTTTTTCACTACCCTACTAAATAGACGCGATTTTGCTGAGAGCATTTTAACTGCAGTATTGATTGGTATTTTCTCATTTTTTGCTTACGCATTCTGATTGTGACTTTGAATGAATGTTTCAAATAAGTTTTCCGTATTCGATTTGAGAAATAAGTTTTTGTTTTGAGTCAAGGCTAAAACACCGACCTGAAAAACTTATATATTCTTTTTATTAAGCACCTTTCATGCTTGAATGAATATTTAATGGACAAATTTCCTGAAATCTGAAAAACTTACTGTTATCATTCATGACTTTTTCATCAAATCAACCAATACGCTCTATAAAAACACGTTTTTGTGCAGTATCAACCCAATGTATCAACCCATTTTTGTGCAGTAAAAACTTTGTTTTTAGACTCAATTGTTTGGTTGTTTTTTGTTATTTTTGCTTGAATTGTTTCTTTTTTGGGAGCATTTTGCATTAGTTTTATCTCTGGTTATGAAAAACTCGTTTCTTGAAAGCTTTGTATCTTTGCAGCTGTATTAAGAGCTTCTTTATAATTAGCAAATATACTCTTTTTGAATATTCTAAATTGGCTGCTAAACCGTTCCAAAAACTTGATAAAACGTTCCGAGAAGCGAGCTAATTGAGTCCCCAAAATAAATGTTTCTCAAATAAGTCTTAACATGATTACTAACTAAAAAAGTTTGCAATTAGTGAGACTTTACTTATTATTAAAACTTTCCTGGCACGCACTTTCAAAACTAGACTGAGACCATCTCATTACCATTTCAAATGCAGAAGTTTTTCTTTGAAAACCACAAAAAAATAGTTTTATTTTCAAAAAGAATGATTAAAAAACTTTTACTAAAGAAACTATTGCTGCATGATGTAAACGCCACAAAACGGTTTTTTCGTGACATAATACTTGCTGCATCACGTCGTCACCAGATTCTCGCTGAACGGGATCGTTTCTTTGTTCCAGCTCGACCGTTTTATCCAAAATCTTTCTGAATGTTTTAAGCAAAAAGATCGGGACAGAACTTTTCAAGAGAAAAAAAACAGTGCAGAGAATTCATCCAGCTACTGATCACAACAAGTCAAAAAAATAAATTCTGCGCAGTATTCCGGTTATTAACTTGCTGCAAATATATTTAGTAGCCGACCCAATTTTTTTAACCATAAACTTAACTCTTGACCGTTAGAGATGGAACATTTACTGTGCAATCTGCTGAAATGAGAACACATACAAGCACATTGACAACTAAGAGAAAAATCCTCAAATTTAGAGTCAACGTCTCATTAAGTTTTTTTTTCTCTGAACACTAAGAAAAGCGACTAAACCCTCAAAAGCATTGGACCGGATGGGACCGGAACTCAAACATATAAGAAAAACAGTTGTTTATTTTTTTTCTCACCTTTTACTTGTTCTCTTCTTTTAAACGAACTTCCCCGATTTGGAAAATTCCGTTCCAAAAACCAAACAAGATCTCAATTTTTCAATTTCGTACCGTCCTATTTCGAAATTAGGACCAGTTCTTAAGATTGTAGAATGCTTGATCCATTCCGCCCCAACCAGATTCCTACCCACAACCGATCATCAACATGGCTTTCGCCCGATGCTTTCAACAACCAAAGCATTTTCTAATCTTGATTTTTTATCGGCGACTCTCTTAGCCAACAAAGGCCACCACTTGATATAACAAAAATTTTCGACATGGTCAGCTATTGCTGCTCCCTCCTAGATCTCCTTACTTAAAACAGGCTACCAGAAAGCCTGTATAGCTGGATGTCAAAGTTTTTGAGTGAGGTTTAATCAAAAAGTTTGTTCAAGGACACCTTTTAAAATCTAGTAGTGTTTATACAGTTGTCTCTCAAGGCTCAGTTTTATCCCTAACAATTTTCAATTTTTGTGCTCACGGCAATCCATTATTGACTTGATGTAAACCTACAATCTACTGAGGACGACTTCAGCTTTTTGTCCACTCCAGAAGCAGCCTGATCACCCTTCAGTGGCCTGATCTGTTTTATCTAAAGAGTTAAACAAACTACAAATAAAATTCCCCAAGTATTTTTTCCTCTTCTAATTGTTTGGCTCGCCTTTTCCTTCTTCGTAGTAGTTAAAACTTAATTGAACGATGCCCGAGGCAAAAAAAAGCCGGCCGGAAAAAACGAAGTACCCGAGTGCGGCTCTTGTGCCCTGGGCCATCTTCAATTATGTTATAACTCTTGAGGAGTATGTTTCTGTTGTTTTTGTGCGAAATATACCAAAAAATTGTAAAAAAGCCCCGAAAATTGAAACAACCCTGCATAGTGCACGAAACTGTGCAAATGATTTCTTGTCTCAGTTTTTCACTTTTTTCTTCATGCAGTTTTTTTCATGGCTTGTCGTGAAAGAACATATGTGAAAGTGTAAAGACATACTCTTCTAACAAAAACTTCAACATAAATATGATTGCAAAAACGAACAACGGTTGTCTTTTAAAAATCATGCAGTTTTTTTCATGGCTTGTCGTGAAAGAACATATGTGAAAGTGTAAAGACATACTCTTCTAACAAAAACTTCAACATAAATATGATTGCAAAAACGAACAACGCGTGTCTTTTAAAAATCATCCTAAAACATTTAGTCTCTTCATTGACCCGTCCATTAAGTTTGCTGAGCAATGCAGGCGAACATTCGCTGAAGCTTCGCGCGGGGTATTGATCATTCGGCCTGTATCCGGGACTCTTGACGCTAGTCCAAAGAACTTTTACTGACTGTTTGTTCAATTTTGGTGAAACCAATTTTAGGTCATGCGAGCACAACATGAATCCACGCTGCCTGCCAGTAAAAGTTTATAAGCCAACTTCAAACAAATCAAAATACTGCTCTCTGTCTGACAAGAGGTTGTACAAGATGATTGCAAGTGTTTAGTTACACTCATAACTACTCGCGGCGCAATTTTGCTCTCAAGGTGCTCGTTCCAACAAACATGGTACTATATTTTCAGCTTCATCCCAACCCCCCCCCCCCCTTAGCGAGTATTGCCTGGTTTCACGCTGCCAGTAAAAAGCTTAAGACGAACTGCAAACAGATCGAAATATTGATCTCTGCCTAATAACATGGTCCACAAGATGAGTGCTATAGTGCTATAGGGGTGGTTGAGATTTTTTAATAAAAGTGTATGTGAGAGTGAAAAGTTTCATGGAATGCAAGGAGTAGTATTGATGCCTGGATCATTCTGTATAGCTTATACCTAATGGTGCATATGTTAAAATTTATTCCTTATGATCCTTATGTAAAAAATTCATACCTAATGATCCCTATGTATGATTTTTAAAGCTAATTATCCCTTTGTGAAACTAATGATCCTTAATGATCCCAATGTATATTTTTTATACTGAAATTTTTGTTGGCCAAAACTAAATTCGTTCTATG